AACCTCCAGGACAGATTGGCATCTCACAGACCTGGATGGTTGCCATGGTGGTCAGATCTAGCTGGCTGATCTGGGATAGCTTCTGTGGAGCTGCAAGTTCCCTGAAATGGCACTGGCAGTGTTGGGACAATGTGTCCAGATGCCTCGTTATTTCAAAACAGGTGTTAGCAAAATGTGCTGCCAGCTTGGACCAGCTCCCATAAGTCCCTGATGACTGAAGCACTTCTTGAGCCCCCAGGGAGGGGAGTGCTTTTGTAGAACATAACACTTGCTGCTCTTTAGGGCAAGGAAGATGGGCCCAGCATCATGCTTCATTACTCATTTATTACTGAGCCACTGCTGACTTCCAGGCACTGCCCTAGGTCCTGGGGATACAGTGGAGAATAAGATGGAGCCAGGCTCTGCCCATAGGGATCTTACAGCTCAGCGTGGGTGTGGGGGTTGGGGGGGAGCCAAGGAAACAAACTAGAGGTCTGTGATGGAGGCCTGAGGGTCCGTTCTTGAGGGTCATCACAGTGGTGAAGAACATGGGTGTTGTAGAGAGAGATAGAAACATCCAGGAGAGAGAATCATAGATTGGCTGCCTCCTGCACGCCCCCTACTGGGGATTGAGCCTGCAACCCAGGCATGTGCCCTGACTGGGAATTGAACCATGACCTCCTGGTTTATAGGTCTATACTCAACCACTGAGCCACGATGGCCAGGCAGAGAGACATACTAGTATTGATTAGGGGCCTCCTGCACGTGCCCCAACTAGTGCTGGGGTTTGAGCCTGCAACCAAGGTATGTGCTTTTGACTCAATCAAACCTGGGACACTCCAGTCCTCGGGCCGATGCTCTATCCACTGAGCCGAACAGGCTAGGGCAGTGTTTGGCAAACTCATTAGTCAACAGAGCCAAATATTAACAGTACAACGATTGAAATTTGAGAGCCACATTTTTTAAACTTAAACTATATAGGTAGGTACATTGTTATTAACTTAATTAGAGTACTCCTAAGGCTTAGGAAGAGTCACACTCAAGGGGCCAAAGGGCCGCATGTGGCTCGAGAGCCGCAGTTTGCCGACCACGGGGCTAGGGCAATAAATGGTAGTTTTAACTACAATTACTAGGACACACCTTGAGTGAAACCCCTTATAGTATAGGTATAGCACTCGTTTTTATAATTCTGAAAATAAGAATAACTTTCCTTTATAATTAGTCTGCCACAATGAAGAGATGGGGAAAAGGAATCACCCTTCCTTGCTTTGCATCTGTGGGGTGTCAAGTATGTATTTGAAAACATTGAATCCTCCCAGCTGTCAAAAAAGTATGAATTTTTACAACTCATTATACAGAGGAGGAAACTGATAGAAAAGTTAAGTAAATTTTCCCAGGGTCACACAGCTAATCAATGGCTGAGTTGGAATTAAAGCCAAGTCTTACCTTCTGCAAAATCCATGTTTTATGCAACTCCTCCTATGCACTGGGCCTCCAAAGCACTTGGCACCGAGGACTACACATGCTGTCCAGCCAGTTAATCCTTTGTTTTCCTGTTGAGTAACACTCCCTCCACATTCTGTGTGGAGTAGGATTCGGTATCTGAAAGAGGAGCCGCACACAAATGAGAGAAAAAGACACGAGATAATTTTGCAATATTGGGGGACCAGGCGGCCAAGTCCCAAAGGACTTCCTCCCTGTGCTCAGGCCGCTCCAATCTTTTATTGATCTGGAGTAGCCCTTAGGGTAAGGAAGTTTCAGTGACACAGGTCAGCAAACAATTTCCAGGAATAGACAAAAGTATCTGATTAACTCATCAATAGATTTCCGGGATATCTGATTAACAATAATCAACAAGGATCTACATAAGTTTCTAAGGAATTAAGGGAACTAAGGTGGGGATGCTTCAACTATTATTACCTAAATTAACTGAGTGGTGCACAACCCTGACCTTCGTTAGGACTTTCAAGCCCTGACCTTTACTAGGACTTTCAAGGGCTACCAGCTTCTGGGGGGTCTCTGTCTAAACCCAGCTAGTGAAGACAATGAATGGACTCCGGCATTTTCCTGAAGTTTTCCTTGGTGGGTTGGCCCCAGCTGCTTTCATTATGCACTCTGATGTGGACCCAGAAGGGAGAAGAGTTAGCACAGGACATCCTGTTTCCCCAGAGAGATGAAATGGCTTGTTCTGTGGCGATAAGTCCATTGTACATCAGGCACATGGTTCATGCACATGAAAATCATCCAAGAAAAGAAACGGGGGTAGAGTCCACATTCTGCCTTTCAGTTCTTGGGTCTAGACATTAGCCTGTGATTCTTCTTGGCCCCAGCAACTTGTTCCCTTTCAGCTGCATGTATCTCAACCTTTGGGGTCTTCTGGCTGTTCTCTGATTTCCTAGGGAGCCGCAAGAGCCCGAGGGAGCAGTAAGGCCAGAGCCGAGGGGGAGAACAAGGAAAGGAGAGCCCGGGAACAGAAAGCCCTGCTGGAGAGTCCAAGCACCCTGGGAGCAGGCATGGGTTTGTTTACTTCAGTAACAAGGACAGGACGTGTGCTTGGTGCTGTTTAAGGGCTGTACTCACAGAACCTCTTCACGAGAGCCTGGGAGATAGGCACGTCATCTAGACAGAATCCTAGGAGATGAGCACCATCGTTATCTCCATTGTATAGACGTGGGCATTGAGGCACAGAAAGGTCACACAGCGAGGGAGGGGCTGGCATTTGAACCTAGGGTTCTTTAGTCCATGAGTTTAGTTTATTTTTAAAAAATACAGTTTTATTGATTTCAGAGAGGAAGGGAGAAGGAGAGAGCTAGAAACATCAATGATGAGAGAGAACCATTGATCAGCTGCCTCCTGCACACCCCACACTGGGGATTGAGCCTGCAACCCTGGCCTGTGCCCTGACCGGGAATTGCATGGCGACCTCCTGGTTCCTAGGTCAACGCTCAGTGCCGCTGGGCAGTCCATTAGTTTAACTAATATATCATTGTTTTTTGAGGGAAGGAATGAGCGAGTGAACAAATGAGTCTGGGGTTTGGGGCTTGCCAGACAAGGCCCAAGGAGGCAGTGTGCAGAGAGCCAGTGGACAGCAGGTGTGCTTTGGAGTCAGCAGGGTCGGGTTGGAATTCAGGCTCTGTCACCTGGTGTCTGTGTGATCCTGGGTGAGTAACTTAATCCAGAAGTCCTCCTTTCCTCATCTTCAAATGGGTATAATAATGCTTCTCTCCTGGGGTCTTGGTGAAGGTTGAACAAGATCACTTCTGTAAAGCTTCTAGCCCCATGAGTGGCATATAGTAGGTGCTCAGTAAGGGCTCACTGTTACAGTATTTCTACTGACACTATGCAGATAGATTGTATTAACAGGGCATCACTGCACCTATATGAAATTGAAACTCCATGTTGACAGGGATTAGAAGGGAAATGAAAACAGCTGTTAAAGAATGAAAAGGAATGAAAGGAAGTTTCTTCAATGCTTCATTATTTTTTTAGTGTTTCTAAATGGAACAAATAAAGCAGGCATGCAGTGAGTGTTCAGTGGCCTTTAAATGTATGAATGAAAAACATTCTAACATATTTTTATTGGTTGAGTAAATTGCTTAAAGCTCTGACCTGCCCGGGCACTGTGGCTCAGTGGTTGAGCTTCAACCTATGAACCAGGAGGTCAGGGCACATATGCAGGATCAGGCTTGATCCCCAGTGTGGAGTGTGTAGGAAGCAGCTGCTCAATGATTTTCTCATCATTGATGTTTCTATCTCTCTCTCCTTTCCTCTCTGAATTCAATTTAAAAAAATATATTTAAAAAAAAACAAAACAAAAACTGACCTTAGGAGAGTGGATAGCTATCCTTGGGGTTTGCACATTTGGAAACTGAAAATGCAATTAAATTGATAATGAGACTTTGCTGAAATCAAATGTCTGACCCAGATTGGCTGATGACTGCCCAGTTTGATGTGCATATTTTCGAATGGGTCAGTTTGGACTCTAAGACGGACAAGATAAAAAGGAAGCGCCCAGCTGGTTTGGCTCAGTGGTTGAGCATAGACCCATGAACCAAGAGGTTACCAGTTCAATTCCCAGTCAGGGCACATGCCTGGTTGTAGGCTCGATCCCCAGTAGCGGGCGTGCAGGAGGCAACCAATAGATGTGTTTCTCTCTCAGGGTCTGTGCAGAAAGGAGTTAATGTTGCAGGCCTCAAATGGAAGCCCTGCAACATTTGCCCTCCCTTTTACAGGCATTGCACTGGGAGCTCGGGACATGGGGTAGGAAGGACATCATCATTGCCGCGCAGTTTTTTGGGAGGCAGGTGAAGAGTCCTTACAATGTGGTTGATTTTTGCTGGGCTCTATCAGAGTCACAGAAGGGTGACAGGGCACAGAAAAAGGGCTTCTAACTTGGCTATTTTGCCACTCCAGGGTTGCCATTCAGGTATCTACATTAGCCAGATAGGCAAATGGTCAAAGGTGGCAGGTGGGGAGCTGGGAACTTTGGCAAAATGGGAAAACGTGCAGGCATAGAGTTGCCAGAGCTGCTAGTTTTGTTTTTGTTTTTCAGGAAAAGCCATGGGTCTGAATTTTGTGAGCGCTCTTTTAATTTTTAAGTGCTTTAAATAAATCCAAATGTTAAAATGGGGGGGGGGGGTGCTAAAAAAAAATAGAGTGGGGCCAAACAAAACACCTGCGGGTCAGAGTTGGCATTGGCCTGTCAGTTGCCAGGCAGTCTGCCAGCCAGCCCTCCCTCTGACCGAACACTGAAGGTCTACTCTCTTGGGCACTGGGAAGCACAGCAGTGAGCAGGCCACACGTACTTGTGCACCGGGGGGCTCTGGTATGGAGCTTCTCAAACTTAAGTATGTGTCGGAATCACCTGGGCAGATTGTACTCAGGAGGTCTGCAGCGGCCCTGAAAAGTTGCCTAACAAGCTCCCAGGTGATGGTAATGGTGGTCCCTGGACCTTAGGTTGAGTAGCTTGTTCTGTAAGCCAGGGTCACAGCTGTTACTTGGAGAGGCGTAGGGACCTCGACATGAAGATGCAAATTTATGGCAAGCATCCTGTTTTTACTTGAATTTTAGTTCATTGGGGGTGGCTCGGAAGAGAACTGATGGCATGGGAGGCGGGTTCTAAGGCTCTCCCACGCTCGCTCTCGGGCCTCTATTCGGAGTTTATATTCTAGAAGACGGGGTGGGGGTGGAGGAAGGTTTAAGGAAAGCTTCCTGGAGGAGGTACTTCCCGGGCATCGGAGAGGGAGAAACCCAGAACTCCTGCTCGGTTATGGCCGAGGCATCCCACGTGCCTACCGTCCCCGACTCCCTGTCAATCAACACACCCTTTCTTCCCCTCCCCGCCCCCCCCACTTCCCCGCCGCTCGGGCTGTGCAGTTTAAAGGCGGCTGCGGGCCGAGCGCACCCAGAGTGCCGCGCGGCGGGCGGGTTTGGATTTTAAATCCCCGCGGCCAATCAGCGGCGCGTAGACCTTTGTAACGTTCCCGGCGCCGCGTTTGAATTCGAGGAGGAGCCGAGCGTTTTGCAGCTCCGGGGGCTCCGGCGGCCGCCCCGCCGGGGAAAGAGATCCCGGAGGTCCTAGTGGACCCACGCAGCCGGCGGCGCTATCTGCGGGGCCGCTTTCTGGGGAAGGGCGGCTTTGCCAAGTGCTTCGAGATCTCGGACGCGGACACTAAGGAGGTGTTCGCGGGCAAGATCGTGCCCAAGTCGCTGCTGCTCAAGCCGCACCAGAAGGGGCTCCGGCGGCCGCCCCGCCGGGGAAAGAGATCCCGGAGGTCCTAGTGGACCCACGCAGCCGGCGGCGCTATCTGCGGGGCCGCTTTCTGGGGAAGGGCGGCTTTGCCAAGTGCTTCGAGATCTCGGACGCGGACACTAAGGAGGTGTTCGCGGGCAAGATCGTGCCCAAGTCGCTGCTGCTCAAGCCGCACCAGAAGGAGAAGATGTCCATGGAGATATCCATTCACCGCAGCCTCGCCCACCAGCATGTCGTCGGCTTCCACGGCTTTTTCGAGGACAACGACTTCGTGTTCGTGGTGTTGGAGCTCTGCCGCCGGAGAGTGAGTGCCCCTGTTGGGAGGCTGGAGCTGCCCGGGGCCGGGGTGGAGCGCCCGCACCCGGAGCTGCAGGAGAGGCGCTGGGGAGGAGGCGCTGGGAACCTCGAGCTGGCGGTGGAAAAGCTCCGGGGCAGAGCTTGGAGCTACTGGAGGAGGGGGTTCGGTTAAATGGAGCCCGAGTCTTGTTGCTGCCAGAGAAGTTGGCTCCTGGACGCGGGGCGTTGCGGGGGTGGGGGTGGGGGGCAGCCCTGGTAATGGACGCTAGGGCTTCCGGAGTTGCTAAGGGTGGAGTCCGGGGGGAATGGGTGCCCATTGCCCTGGAGCTTCCGGATTGGGCTTGTGTCTGGGAGAGGGCGGTAGGAGGAGGTTCAGGATAGGGATCTGCTGCTGTGGAAAGACCAGGAAGGGGGTGACTGGGGACTCTGAGACTAGGGAGTGGGGCTGACAGAGGGGCCCAGGTCAGGGGCTTGGGAAGGAGCTGGTAGGAGAGGGGGTTCTATGAACGGTGCGGCCACGTTTACGAGAGAGCCCAGATCCTAGTTGTTCTGGAAAAGAAATGCTGGGGGTGGGGGTGTCCGGGGCTGCCTTTACCTAATGATACCGCCTCCACCTTTGGACCTCAGTAGGACCCCCCATTCCTCCTCCTCCTCCCTTTCCTCTCCCCCCGCCCCCAGTCTCTCCTGGAACTGCACAAACGGAGGAAAGCACTGACGGAGCCCGAGGCTCGCTACTATCTGCGGCAGGTGGTCCTTGGCTGCCAGTACCTGCACCGAAACCGGGTCATTCATCGGGACCTCAAGCTAGGCAACCTCTTCCTGAACGAGGACCTGGAGGTGAAAATAGGTGAGGTGCTGGGCCTGCAGGGGACAAAGAGGCGCCTGGGAGCGGGGAGGGAGGGAGGAGGAGGTGGAGGAGGAAGGTGGGAAGGCTGGGCTGTTGATCACCCCTTAAGCTTCCGTGTACATCATCTGTACAGTGCAGTGTACTCACCACCCAGAGTCCAGTCTCCTTCATATATCTGACCCCTTACTCTTCATCCTCCCCCCATTCCTCATCCCTTCTGGTAACCACCGCACTGTTGTCTGTGTTTATGAGTTTGTTTTGCTTGTTTGTTGCTTTCTGTTTTGTATCCCACCTGTGAGTGAAATCATGGTTCTTGTCCTTTTCTGTCCGACTTATTTTACTTAACAAGAGACTCTCAGGATTCATCCATATGGTCTCAGATGACAGTATTCCATCCTTTTTTATGCCTGAGTAGTATTCCATTGTATATATGTACCACATCTTCTTTCAGTTATCCATCGAAGAACACTTAAGTTGTTTCCGTGTCTTGGAAAAATAAGTGGTTTTGCCCCGCCTGTGTGGTGCAGTGGTTTGTGTCAGCCTATGAACCAGGAGGTCACAGTTGGATTCCTGGTCAGGATACATGCCTGGGTTGCGGGCTCCATCCCAGTAATGGTCATGCAAGAGACAACAGATCAATGATTCTCTCTCATCGTTGATGTTTATCTCTCCCCCTCCCTCCCTTCCTCTCTGAAATCAATAAAATATATATATATATATATTTTAAAGTGCTTTCAAAATTTGGGGGTAGATACCCAGAAGAGGATTTCTGGGCCATCTGGTAGCTCTATTCATTTTTTGAGGAACTTCCAAACTGTTTTCCATAGTGGCTATACCAAGTTATGTTCCCACCAGCAGTGTATGAGGATTCCCTTTTCTTCATTTCTCTCTAACACTTGTTATTTCTGACAATATTTTTTTAAAAAAGAATTTAAATGATTTTCCCATTTTTAAAATTGGTAGGCTGAACATACAAGTTTTGAATTAGCGCTCCTTTTATTTCATTTATTTATTTTAAAGATTTTAAATTGATTTTTAGAGAGTAAGGGAGAGGGGGAGAGAGAGGGAAGCATCAACATCGATTGTGAGACATCAATTGGCTGCTTCCTACACACCTACCAGGACAGCCCGCAACCGGGGCATGTGCCCTGGCTGGGAATCAAACCAGCAACCTTTTGGTGCTCAGGATGATGCCCAACCAACTGAGCCACACTGGCCAGCACTGCAGCTCTTTTTAAACAATTGACAACTCCAGCATTACAAGGACAGCATTCCCTCAGGGCAGCTCTTTGCTGGGCTAAAAAGCAGCTGTTCCCTTTAGACTCCCTCTGGTTTGCCACAGTCCCAATCCCTCCCTACTCCTCACAAGCTTACCTAGTAGCAGCCTTGAAGTTTACTTGCTTGATCCCTTAGTTTCTCTATCCCTGTCAGTTTCCTTTTAGAAGCTTAGCCCTCCTTTCTAAGAGGAGGGGTTAGGAGGGTCATTGAGAGGCCCCCTCCTTGGGCCAGCATGGTGGGGCGATTCCTGGGGAGGCCGTGCAGCATACAAGGAGTAGAGCTTGAGGGCTCAGATGACCTGGGTTCTCGGGGGTCCAACAGGATCCATAAAGGCAGTAAGTAGTCTGTGTTGACGGATGACAGAGGCTAGCATCTGAGGACCGCCCCTTCCTCCCTCTGTTCCAGGGGATTTTGGACTGGCAACCAAGGTCGAATATGACGGGGAAAGGAAGAAGACCCTGTGCGGAACTCCTAATTACATAGCTCCTGAGGTGCTGAGCAAGAAAGGGCACAGTTTCGAGGTGGATGTGTGGTCCATTGGGTGCATTATGTAAGTTGGGGAACCCCCTGGCCTCAGCAGGGGCTCTTTTGGAAATCCCACCTGTGAACGGATCTGCCTATGAAAAGGCTGCTCCCAGGGCAGACTACCCCAAAACAGCCTAATTCCGCATCTCCTCTTGACACTGGTGTAGGCTACAGGATTCCTGCAGCCGGGCCCCTTGCTGCTCAAAGTGGCCCACAGACCAGCAACACCATCACTTAGAAACCTCTTCAAAATGGAGAACCTGAATCAGACCAGATTTTAACCGAGTCCTTGGCTGATCTCATGCACAAAAGTTTTAGGACCACTGATCTAGAAAGCAGCATTGGGTGCGAGGACGTGGGCCAAGGCCATCGGAGCTGAGTGGTAGGAAGGCGCCTTTTCAGGTGTGGCTTCGTTGGCCTGGGGACCGGAGTCAGAAATGAGTTGTGGCAGTGGCCTTCATACTTTTTTTCAGTGGAGCTATTTATTTCAAATGGAAACTTCAGCTTTAAGTACAGAACTATTAAACACAGAGCTGCCTCTACAGGCGCAGCAGCCCCCTTCTTGACTTGCTCTGTATCAGCTGGCGGCCTCTGGGACCCTAGAACACTGCGGGCTTTTGCTGGAAAATCTCGGGCCCACAAGAATCCTGTTCTCATCACCTCTGATCTACTGAGGGCTCTCTCTGGTTTCTGGGCTGCTCCGTGGGCGTGCAAACTGTCCTCAGGGACAGAGTGAGTGTCCAGAGGATGCCTGGCCTTCTCTCTGGCCCTGAGCTCATTCCTCCTGCATCTGTTCTGGCTGAGAACTGAGCCAGATTCCACCTTGTGCTTACAGGTATACCTTGCTAGTGGGCAAACCACCTTTTGAGACATCTTGCCTAAAAGAGACCTACCTCCGGATCAAGAAGAATGAGTACAGTATTCCCAAGGTGACTAAAAGCACTTGGAGTTGAACTTGATTATGTTTTGTTACCCCCTTCCCCCCAAAGGTATTTACTGAGCCCGGCTAGAAGCTGGGGACACAGAGAGAGGTCCGCTCCACACCTCAGCTAGCCTCAGAGCCTTCGAGGGTCCGTGTCTGAAACTGCATCCAGAACGGAGCATCTGTGCGCAAAAGCATTTTTTCCAGGGGAAGGGAGTTTGTAGATTTCAGAGGAAAAACAAACACCAAAAAGATGGGAAGGCAGTAGGAGGCAGAAGGAGAGGTGCTGCATAAGCTTCGGCAGTGGACTTGATGCGGATGGGCCAGTGGCCTGGCCCTTCTGAACTGTGGCCCTGTCTGGGCCGGAGCTGCTGCCTCTGCGGCACCTCGCACAGCGCCCTGCATACAGCAGGTGCTCAGAGTTGTGGATCACTGAGTCCTCCGTGGTGCGAAAATGCACCTGGCACATGGCCGCTTTCCTGTTTAGGGTTCTTGCCTTGTGTGCAGCCAAGAGCCCTTTCCCCATGAAGACAGAGTGTCCTAAAGGGTCAGTTAACTGTCAGACGGACGCAGCATGGAATGGTCCAGAGTGTGCTGCTTGACTGCCTCTGTGTGGGTGCTGGCTCTACCACTTAGTGTGTTTTCCTAGGCACTTAACCTCCGTGCCTCAGTTTCCTCGTCTGCAAGAGCATGGTGGTCACAGAGGTCTCCCCCCCGCACATGTTTCTGTGAAGGTTAACGGGGTGGGTAGCAGGATGCCTGAGGAGTTTCCTGGCACACAGTGGGTGTGGAGTGCATGCTAGCTGTCACTGCATTTGACCCGTGCTGGGTTATCGCCCACGGAACCTTCTCACCGGGGCTCCAGGCTTGGCACCGTGTCCCCATGTTATAGATGAAGATACTCGTCACAGCTGGTGGTGTGGGCAGAACTGGGACTTGCACCAGGTCTCTGTGACCCCAAAGCCTGTGTTCTCGAGTGCCCGTCTAGAGCTGGAATCATGCAAGAGCAAACTCAGGGACAAATCGACCTCAGCTCCAGCTTGAGTTTCAAGAGGAAGGGAGACTAACCATTCTCACAGCTTGTCAACTCAGCAAAGCCGATGGGGGGAACTGGCATTGTCTGTAGTGCTGACGGGCCTGTTTGATCCCGGGGCTGCATGGGGAACAGGCTGCAGGTCCTGGCGCGGTGCTGCACCGGGGCTCCGTCACGGGGCTTATGGCTCTCCCTGTCTCTGCTCCAGCACATCAACCCCGTGGCCGCCTCCCTCATTCAGAAGATGCTTCAGAGCGACCCCACCGCCCGCCCCACCATCCATGAGCTGCTCAGCGACGAGTTCTTTACCTCTGGCTACATCCCCGCCCGACTGCCCATCACCTGCCTCACCATCCCACCCAGGTTTTCCATTGCTCCCAGCAGCTTGGACCCCAGCGGCCGGAAGCCTCTCTCAGTCCTCAATAAAGGTAAAACAAGGCCTGGCCAGACAACAGGCCCCTCCCGCAAAGAGCCGAGGCTTCCAGAGTGTGGGTGGGTGGCCCAGAGTGTGGGGTGCAGCAGGACAGGCTCTGGCCCCTGGCCCCATCCTCCACAGGAAGATGGCCTTTGTTCTTTCAGAAAGACAGACCTTGTACCGCTGATCACACCTGTCAGGCCCAAAGAGAGCAGAGTGGACTTAGCGGCACACCTGAGAAATTCTTATTCGAAAAATTCTATCCCTGGCCAGCTTGGCTCAGTGGATAGAGCGTCAGCATGCGGACTGAAGGGTCCCAGGTTCAATAAGAAAAAGAAAAATTCTAGCCATCACTCCTGTATGGTTCATTGAGAAAAATATGAGAAACCTCAGATGTCCACATGGAACTCAGGGCAGTAGACTCGTGAGCACCCAGCAGGTTCCTGGCACTAAGAGTGAGCCACGTGCACTTCATCTCCTGATTTGTTCCTCTGAAGTTAATAGCAGACTCCGTAGCATTTTATGCCCTATAAACTCCAGTGTGTCTGTCTTTAAAAGGATGGACATCTTATCAAACCACACGCCACTGGTTAGGTTATTATTGTTTCTAGGTCTCCTCAGAGGACAGAATTAGGAAATACATAATGTGGGGGAGGGGGGCAGGGCTTGAGTTTATGGTGATATTTCCCATTCACATTTTTTTCTTTTTTCTTTTTGTTAATCCTTACCCGAGGATATTTTTCCATTGATTGAAAGAGAGAGGGAAACACAGAGAAATATCGATGTGAGAGAAACACATCAATTGGTTGCCTCCTTCACACGCCCCGACTAGGGCCTAGGCCAGGGTACGGGATGGGTCCACAGACACTCTATCCACTGAGCCAAACTGGCTAGGGGCCCAATTCACATTGTTTCAACATTTTATTTGTCATATTTCAAACTTCGGAAAAGGTGTGAGAAGAGACAAAATCTCCTATATCCACTTTACCTAGACCCACAACTCACATATTTTTTTCACATTTGCTTCATCAGTACTCTTTCTTCCTCCCCTCCCTCTCTTTCTTCTGAACTGTTTGTGAGTTATATACTCTAGTCTTTACAACGTAATACTTCAATGTATATATCCCCAAACAAAGATTCTTTCAAAACCACAGCACATGGCGCAGTTATCAGGTTCAGGAAATTTAATGTTGATATGATCTTGTTTTATAGCAATCTTTTTCTCTACTCTGAAGTTACTGCTTTTCTTTTGGTAATTTATAAGTGATTCTAAATAATGTTTTAGGGTTTTTACTTCTTTGTTTATATGCTTGTATTTCTCTT